TGACTTCCTGAAACACATTCTGCTCAGGCTGTGCCAGAGCAACACTAAGTTTCCACTTGTAGGGAATGCAACTGTCCTGCTTCTGAAGTGAAATTCAATACATGAAATTAGTTTTGCCTGTGGGCCAAAGCATGCACAAGATCCCATATGTTTAAAGGACAAGCAGGTTTGGCTCAGTGTTAACCTGTAATCCTCAAAACTGCTGGAGTCCAGACCACCTAGAGGACTGCTGCATTTTCCTTGCCACACTGTAAACAGAGACAAGCACCAGTTATCCAGTTCCTCTGGTGGCAGTTGCCACCTCTGCCAGGACAACTCTGCGGGCTGCAGTGAACAGGGAAGAAGGAAAAATAATAATAATAAATATAATAATAATTAAAAAAAGCTCTACCACCATCCTCAGGCCAGCAAAAAACACCCTCAGAGCTTTCCAAGGGCAAGGTGCACTCCCAGCTGCACCGAGTAGAGCCTCAGAGATGCTCTCTCATGATTTCGCTGAATTTAAAGCTCTCACGAGTGCCACTTTGTGACCATCACATCTTCAGAACTTCTACTCAAGTAGCTTTCTTGGACTGGGGAGCGGGGCACAAGGCAGCATTTTTTAATTTTTGAACTATGAAAAAGAAGTCTTGCAGAAATAATAGGTTAAGTAGAAAGACTAAATAGAAATGGTCTTTATTTTGTACAGAGATTTTGAAGTATAAATCAAATGCCAAAACCTTTTGGCCACCACTGATCGATATTAATAAAATGATCCAATTTGAAAGCCTCCTTAGTAAACAGTAGCTGGAGGACTTGCTTCAGGGAACAGTATAACCTAGTTTTCTTTACTTGGTTTCATTTTTATTAAAAGAGATCCAATGTTTATGAGACCTCCGCCTTGCAACGTATAATCCGTTCCTCATGGGAAGAACACATAGGCCAAACAAAAATTGGAGTTTTTGTTCACATCAATCACTATTGCTTCTTTACTTCCTCCAGTACTGCCTGGAAACCCATTGTTTCAAAACAGTTGCCATGGAACAGCCTTTCCTGAGATTCCAAGTCCAATTCCTCCTCCTTAGTTCACATGGCTACATTCCTCAGTTAAAGGAAAATGAGATAAGAAGTGGGGAAAAATATCTAAGGTTTGCTCTCTTTTACCTTTCTTCCATCCCTTTTGCTAAATTGCTTTCTCCATATTAATTATAGTACACTATCTTCTCAAATCACTTTCATATTCACAAGATGGTCGTCCTGAAGAACAGCTTCCCAACTGATTTTATTGCTTCATTTTACCTTGTGAATTTAAGCTGTGAGAAACAAATCGCTTACATTGCCCTTGATGGAAATACCAGATTAGGTATTCTTTAGGAAAATACTATATTCACTTTTTTTTGTCCTTCTCAATACAGTAGTTTTACTAGCAGTGTCCAAAACATAGCAACTATTCACAGAGACTTGTGCCACTGAAGTACTGCCAAAAATTAAATATTAAAAAAACTGAAGACCAAATAAATTGTAACATATAATGCAATTAGATTTTGGTAACATTGGTTTTGGTTAACTGCAGGAGAAGTATACTTTGAAAGACAGGAGATTTGTTGATGGCATGGAGATATTTAGTTACAGCAATGCCTTCTCTCTACAAAAGATACGTAGTGTGAAGAACTACATATCCACTAAAATAAATGGCACATTTTGAGTAGTAACTCCCAGAAATGGAGAAATTCAGGGGCTCCTGCCACCAGCAAGAATTGTCTTATTCATAATATTGTGTAAGCTGTCAAAGCTTCAAAAAATCATCTTACTCCCCCTAAAAGGTTCATAAGAGTCACTAAAATGGCAGCTAGGCAAAATGGAGGAATAGAAGAATGCACCTTCTGGATACATACAAGGTAGTCTGGAATCAGAAGTCTCCCTCTCCTCAGAAAAGATGAACATAAAATACATCAAGTGTGATTTTCTTATTGTAGAATTTTTCGTACTGTGTAAGTGGGATTGCTTCCAACGAGAGGAATATAGCAGGATTTCAGCTGCTTCCTTTTTGTGCTATGCAAATGTAGCCCCAAAACTATTGAGGATAGGGCATAAAAATCAAAGGGAAACCAAACATGCAATGAAAATAATTATTTCACTAATAATAGCATAAAATCTCACATCTACGTAAAGGCCTATTGAATTGCATCAAGAACACACACATTAGCTAAAAAAGGAGATGTTTAAGATAACTGTCTTGAAAACCTATTCTAATATCTCAGTTCTGTTATCTCTATTCTACTCTTTCAGTGCTTTCAACCTCAAACAGAGGATTGCTGCTACTTGCCCATTTGTGTAATATGCCACTATTTTTCCATGATAGAAAATGCCCTTTTGTGTCCAATATTTTCCCTTTTCTCATACTCAAAAACAAATGAGTTTTGTGTCATGTGTATCACATTTTGATCAGAAAAAGATCATGAATTCTTTTTTTTCTCAGCTAGAGCAGCCAACACCAGAGAAGAGAAAAGCAGAGCTTAGCTAGGAAGTTTCAGCTGTACAATCAATCCTAAACTCAAGGGCCACTTTATAATGACTGCTAGTTAGTACAACTTAGGTAAAGGAAATTGTCTGCGGAATTCCCTTCCTCCTCCACCAAACAAACCTCACACACTTAGAAATCTTAAATACAAAAACAAATTCTTACTTCCTTCAGTGTGAGCCTGTGGGTTCTTATAGAGATGCTCAATCCGGCCTGTATTAAAAGAACTAGATCGACGAACAATTCCATGCACCTGTGGATTAAACACGGAAAAGATCAAACGAAATGGTAAGCATAAAAGAGGAAATGTTCATAATCTTTCAAACACATTGGCCTAATGTCAAGCAATCAGAGTTTGTCACCATTCCTAAGCTAAAGACAGACAGTTGTCAAAGTCATAGAATCACAGAATCATTAAGGTTGGAAAGGGACTTTGGAGATCATCTAGTCCAGCCCTCCTGCACACGCAGGGTCGCCTAGAGCACGTGGCACAGGACTGCGTCCAAGGATATAACGCTACGAGATGACTTCTCACTTTGCTGTGCTTATTGCAGGACCCTTGACCTGTTCCATCTTCTCCTGATGAGTCACCTGGGGTTGACTCATCACTTTCTAGAGCTCTGAACTGCTCCAGAGCACCATCTTCTTGAGAGGAAAATGTGAAGCCTAAAGCAACCGCAGCCCAAAGCTGGCTATAGAGGAGCGTTTCTGGAGCCAAAAAGAGATGACCATAAAAAAAAAGAAATCAGTGGGAGATGGGACCGAGGAAACAACAGGGGAACAGGTAAAAGAAAAGAAAGTCAAGGGGAAAGAAAGCAGCATCACGGCCCAGATATATTTTTAAAAACAGCTCTTATTCACTCTCCGTTCTTCCAACCCATCAGGAAGAACAGTCAGTGCTATTTTTTGAACCTCATGAGTCAGTTTTCTGAGATGGGTTATGAGACACACAAGCAAGTTTAAGGCTGAAATTCAGGTCGGGAATTTCCTTTAACCAGTCATGACGAATAAGTAAGCGAAAAAAAAAATAGCAGCTCTGACTAACATTAAAGAAAAGCCTGTTTGTGTCTAATGCGCTACAGAAATTCAACGCTGAACCCATTTCCTCCTTATGCAAGATAGACACAAACCTGCTGCCAAAATTTATGGTAGTTTAGGTCACCAGCTGCAGAAATTGCGCTTACACAAATGTAATCAAACTTTAACACCTGACCTCTGCCTTCAACCTCTCCCTGCCCTCTATTTCTGAGAGAGACCCCTTACTATATGGTGCATCCTATACTCACTTGTGTTGGCCGCCACTTTAGCCTCTCACTTCACATTAACATGAATCTTCAAGCATACTACCAGCACAAACGCAGTTTTTAAAAAGTACATGTCTACTAAAAAGCACACGTCTAACGTCCTAGACACGCTCAAAACACATTTTCCTCCATTTAAGAACTGAAATTTTACTGACTAAAAAAGGGGACATGACCTTGGAGTTAGACCAGTTTACTATGTTATCAATGACATTTTGGTGGCAAGCTCTGTAGCTGTTGTGCAATATTTTCCCCTTTAATTTGTGTGTGTCAAATTCACGATACCTATCTCCTTACATAGAATCTCTTTACCACCCCACTACCCAATATGCTCACACAACACACAACTCACACAACTTGTTGCATTAAACTTTCTTCAACTGAATAATATAATGCATTTTGAGGCTCAACAGCTAACCCTTAGAAACATGGTTCCAAAAACAAATTCCTTCCATTAAGCAACACATTTATGAAGTTTTACTTAAAAGTTGTCTAGTAAGAATCCCCATCAAAATAATTATTTATACCATACGTGGAAAATTTATAGGGACATAGAGGTTATAGACAAATGTTTTCAAAGAACAGTTCCATAATAACTTTGGTTTTGCACAAGATGTTGGAAATGCTTTAATTATCAGCATATCTGTTTTCCTGAACAAAACTGGACTTTGTCATTTTAAAGTATCTAACTAGCTGAAAGAAAGTTAACTGAAGGGCTCTACAACTGTTCTAGCAAAATGAAATGTTTGGCTTAACTTCCTGATGAGAGACTTCTTGAGCTCTCCATTATCTAACTCAGAATTAAGTCACGCTGAAATTCAAGCTCACACAAACCATGGACCAGGAAGCCAAATCTTGCCAGCTCAAAGACTGATGAAAGCTTGTGCTTGCTTGAGCTTTGTGTCAGCTCAATGACTGCGATGCTAACATTTGACCAGAGAGACATGTCAAATGCAATCATCCCAGGGCTTCAAACATTTCCAGCAAACAAATGAATACAGAGAGCTTCTTGCATCCAGTGATAACAAGAAAACACTCGAAACCGCCTTTTATTCCCCTCCCACACACACTCATTTTTTCTGGCATGCACATACAAGAGAAAGAAAACCTGCCAAATGCTTAATCCACAACAATGATATTACTATAAGAACCGATGAAAGATGCTTTTGTCTGCATGGGACAGATGAAATGCAAACTTTGTGACAAGCCAAAATGTGTGCAAACTGGTTAATCTAGTTAAGAACGCAAGATCAGTAGATTTTGTTTTAAATAGGGCTTGATCTTTCCTTAGATAGACTAAATTAAAAATAAAACAATTTTAAATTATTTTCAGGTCATTTGAAAGACACTATCCGTAAACAGCAAAGAAATAAACAAATGCTGGTTTACAAGCTTTCCAAACAGAAATATGACATCTGTTTTAGTGGAAATTAATGGAAATTTATCAGGAAAAAAAGTCATCTGCATCTGTCAAAACCTTGTACCAAAACCTTCTCTCTTCACTTGCTGGTTTTTGAAATGCAAAGGTGTCTACCAGATAAATATCTGTCTTGTCCAGAAGCCCTACATCTCTGCTATTCCTTTCTTAATAGGTAGGATATATTAATTTCTTGCAAAGCCATCAGAAACCACAGGGAGACATCTTACCCTAGAAGAAACACACTGCACAAATGTGCCTTACATCTGAGCCTGGAAAGATAAATTGCATCAAAGGTATTCAGGCATCTCATGAGGCTAAAAGCAGTATTTAGGCCATAGAATTTAGCTTAGTAATTCAGCACAAACACAGTTACACATACAAAAGTTTCACTGAAGAAGGTCCACGTGACAGATCACATACTATATACGTTGCAGCGCTTGGATTCTAGGGGCTAGGTTGGTAATGCCTAGATTCTAAACACTGAACACCATGGTTACAATAGGATGAGCTGATATCAAGAAAATAGGCATTCTTATCCCTTTTCTCCACCTTCACTAGGATTCAATCAAATAGCTTCATTTTTGTAGTCATAATGTAGTTGTAATTATAGGATATAAATATAGGATTTATTATATTTATATAGGATATATTTATAGGATATAATTATAGTATGTATAAGCTGCATCATGTAAACGTATAGTATATAACTGGAAACAAGATTTCCACTATAAATGGTAGTCCAGTTCAGTGATTTCAGTCACCTTTCAGTCTTATCTTATCAAATAATTGATAACATATATGCTTTATTTATAAATTTATTTGTATTACTATACACAGATTATCATATTTGCTCTGCTGTTCAGCTAATGAGGAACAGGGCTCTCTAAATCAGTAGGGAGGAATTCCACAAAACATATGTAGAATTAAGAAAAAAAGAAAGGAAAAAAAGCCTGTTCCATTATTGTGATCTTTCCACTGTGGAGAGGATCATATTTCATTTTAGTTTCAGTTAGCACTTCCCAATTTCATTGTGGACTAGGAAGGAGTGTATGGTTTTACCTGCAAAGTAGCTGAGCAATGAAAATGATACCTTTTTCCCCCAAACGGCATGGAAAAAAGGGAATTTACAACACCTAAAACCCACACCAACAAGCAAATCAATCAGCAAAGCAGCAAAATCAATGCAATAAGAAGGCAAGATTAGTCACATGCAAAAGGATGAAAAATGGGTGCTTCCTATTTAGACAGGCAGCAGTTAGAGATAGGAAAGCCCATGAGGGTACCGTCTTTTACACAAAACCATGAAATACTACATCGTGAAGAGAATTATGTGATCATCCCTTTTCTCCTCCTTTCTACCACGATCACACCTATGGGAAGCACTGCTCCTGACTGAGCAGGCACATTCTGACAGCCAGCCAAAATGACTTGAAACCATCAAGTCGTACTGCAGTAATATTATTGTTGAATCGCCAAGACCCTGCTACCTCCACAAAAGAGGACAATTTTACTTAGCAGAGTAATGCAGCAAGAAATAAGGAGACTGACTCCCTTTATTTTAAGAAAAAGGTAAATAACACTGATATGCAAAGGAAGAATATAATAAATCCAAGAGAAGGAGTGGGAGGCAACACTCCCAGAAGTTTAAATTTTTAAAAAGGAATCAGAATGCTTCTTAGAAAACAAACTCTCTGGCATGGACTAGCAAGATTTTTATTGCTGAAGGACAACTGCAGACACAAAAGGGACTTCACTGCTAGCAAAAATCTCTTTTTCTTTTTTCCTTTTTTTTCCCCTTCATGTGATACATTGCATCATAAATTATTCCCTAATTCTTTATAATTTTGGCTTACACAGGTTGTTGCTTATCTAAGTTGGCGGGAAACATGCAAAGCAGCTATACCCTGAGGAGCAGAGGGAATCCACCAGTGGCCATTAGATGATAAATAGCACAATAAGCTGGCATGATTACAGGCTGTGTTGCACATTCTTCTCTGGAGTTTTGATTTGTTATCTAGGGTTGAGTGGAAAACATACACAGAGAAGGACAGAAGCAGAGGAAGCTGGAGCTGCGGCATCCAAGCGACTCCATCAGCCTACAAGTCAGTCACCGAGTCACTCACCTCGTAGCCTTTTTCCAGCAGGAACTCAGCCAAGTACGATCCATCCTGAAAAGAGTAAGATATAGGAAAATGTCAGAAACACAGGGAGGCAGAGGAGGGAAAAAAAAAAAAAGAAAAAAAAGAAAAAGGAGCAGAGTTGACTGGGCAGCAAGCACATACTCGGATTTCTCCGGATTTAACTGGAGACCTGACCTGAAATATTATACACACTTATTGGTTAATTTTAGATTAAGCAGCAGTATATTTAAGATAACTTGCTTTCAAAGGCTGGTTGAGAACTCCTGCCCCTTGAGTCTCTTCCCAGCTTCCATTTTAAAATGTCTAGAGACATCTTTCCGAAATAGCCTAACCACAATTCTTGAATTTGAACTATTTTGGAGATAGAGAAGGAAAAATAAATGTCATAAGCTTAACATACTCTGACAGCAGACAAATAGGTCTGTATAGTAGTGTGTCAAGCTCACTTCTCCCTTACATACATTCCTTCCAAAACCATTCTACAGACAGCAAAGATCTTGCTTGTTTGACCAGTTAAGTTTTTCAAGTCACCCTTGAAGATTTTTTTAAGGCATTATCACACTCGAATTAATAAACTCAGAAAGCAAATAATTCAAAAATCTATGCTAGCATCTGTTTTTTGAAACTAAGTAATCTTCTTGTGCTCATCACTGTCCGCAGGATTATCAAAGAATAGTAGTAAATCGAATTACCCTTGTCAACTTCTATGCATCATCACAAATACAGCAAAATTTACCCCTTTGGGATGTGCACAAGACAAACCAATGCTGTGAAAATTAAGAGATTATCAGTGCCCAAAGAATCTTTCTTTCCACTGACTTTTTCAATCAACGGTACCCTTTAACGCATGAGACTGTTGCAGAGTCAATTGACTTGCCCTAGAAAGACCATAAAAACCACAGAATGCCACCTTCACTCGCATGCTTAAAATACATGGATATGCTTTGACACAATCACGGCCAAAAACTTCTAGGTGTGCAACTGGACAAACACCTCTTTGGTCTTCTTTTAAAACAGTACTTCTTTTCTGCGTTTCCAGAGGAAAAAATCCCACTATTTCACCTCAAATTAAATGCACTTTTCCTGTCTCTCAGACAGCCCTAGGAGAATAAAATAGTAAAGTAAGAAATTTGAGAGGCAATAGGAGGCTACAAAACAGCAGGACTGCCAGTGGAGACTGCTTATGATATTGATGTTAGAGACACGCAAAAATCTATGAAAAATGATAGGGTGCAGTCCACAATATGGGCATTTGCTGTACATTTATGCCATACATATAGAATTCCAGCACCTTTAATGACTTTACAGCATAACTGTGTTGCACAATGTCTTATACAGACTAGGTGAGCACGCAACACAAAACGTCTCCGCATGCACACGTTTCTTCACCTACATGTATGATATGCTTGTGCTCACATAGCTCCTCAGTGCCCATAAGCAGACAGCAGTCAGATTACCATACCTCTTAATCTGAAATCTGACAAGCCATGAGTGCCACGTCACTGAAAGAAGAGCTGGACCAGTATGTGGTCCCATACATCACAGAAAGAATAAAACGCCATAGAAGAAAAGCTATTCACAAAAATATACAACAGAAATTCTAGAGAAAGATTCAAATCTGCAATTTACTGTTCCTTTTCTTTAGCAAATCCTCCAGGAGGTAGCAGGGCTGGAGTAGGTGGAGGAAGGCTTCATCTTTTGCCTCACTTGTGAAGCCCATTAAAACAAACAAGCAAAACAGAGGTGAAAGTGGAAGACGTAGAGAGTGAAAAGGAGATGGAGAAAAAAAAAGAGCAGCTGTGATTATACGGGAAGCTGATGTGAAGCAGGCTGGACTGAGATTGAACCCTGTCAGTAAGGTCTTGTTCTTCTCACCCAGGCCGTTTCTCAAATTTTCCAGCCACCCTGGAACATTTTGAGGCAGCCCTGGCATTCCCTTCCTCTGCGCTTCCTTTCCAGGTCTATCGAGTGATAGGGCCGCACAATGAGTGGGAAACAGGCAGCAAGCACAGGAGGCTACTGGTTTCTGGCTCCGGCACGGCACAGCTGATTTACTGTCGGGTAATCTCGCCCGACGCACACTGATGTGGTCCTGAACTGAGATATGGTATCTCAGAGAGCCCTGAAGTTTCACTTTGCCCTTCCTTTTCAGTAAAGCAGCTGTCAATGAGTGCAGCAATCTGAACAGTGATTAAACTGTCATAAGAGTTTACAACGTGTTATGGATAACAAAGTTTCCATCCTTTCTTAATGAGGAATAAAGCCGATTAAGTAGGCTGTCTTAAAAGATTTATACTGTATGCATAGGAGACCATATTATGCATATAAATGTTGTTATCAGAGCTATTAATTCCGGTTTACACTACAAACAGAACTTTCAAGGTTCATGAATCACCAACTGAAAAACAGGAAAGGAACCTTAAAGTACATAAAAGTGTTTAACACTAAAGTTCATTTCTTCTTTGGATTAGCATTTTTTTGTTCTGAGTCACATGCTCCCACACTGCTAGCACACATCTGAGCTGGCATGGATCAGCAAGAAGAGCGCTAACCTGTCTGAACCATCCCGTAAACTCACAGGGGAATCAGGGGAAGAGAAAAGGTCTTCCCTCTTACAAGCAGTACTTAGAGTAATTTTGATCTTATTTCCCTCAATGTTTCACCTGGAAATTACTGATCCATATTCAATCCTTCTCAAGAGTTTCTAGGAAACTATGGCATTGTGTCTCTGCACCGTGGCTGCAATGTCTGACGTCCATCCACTCAGCATTCTTTACACAGACATTCCTTACACTCTCTTTAATGGAGATTTTGCTGGCTGTTATAAAATGGAGATAGCAAAGGATAGCTCATTGTCCATGGCTAAAGTGTTTGTTTCTATGAAACGAAATAGTCTACAGTCTTTAAAGGGGATCTTAATGAGACCCTGCTCTGCACAGATAAAACAGGCCATCCTGCATGATCAAAATAGTTTAACAAACCTCATCAAATAAAGTTAAGTTAAAATAGTTCCTCATGAGCATTTGTGGTATGTCAGACTTGAAGAATCATGGTCTTCAGCCAAAATGCAGTTTGAAAATGCATGCAAAGAATGATACTTCTCTGTAAATTCACAGACAAAAGAAAACAGTCATATAAACTAGTGAGACAACTTTAAGATGCAATATTTTATATTTAATATAGTAGTTAATGTCAGGAACTTCAACAAGCCTTGACACACTATCCAAGAAAACGTTTTCCAAGAGAGGGAAAGAAGTGAGACAACCAAGAGTTAGACAGCGCCATGCCACAAATATCTAGGAAAAAAAGGTCATAAGGTTCGACTTGATCTATGAGCAAAGAATACAGTAATTTATACCAAAAAGAAAAATGAAATAAGCAGAATTAAACAGCATGTTTGGCAATTCAAGTCTCCTTTATTTTGCACTGTTCTATTCAAAGCAAACTCCTTTTATATCAACAGACTTGCTTTAGATTTATATTGATACAAGTAAAATTCAGAGAAGGTGCTAAGAGCACCTCCCAGACGCAGGACATCCTCCTCTTCTTCCTTTAATAGGACCAGTTAACTTCGACATCCTTCTATAGACATCTTTGATCCAAGAACTGGTTTGCAAGCCCTATCGGAACATTCATCACCTAGAGAAGCAACCTCCAGCCCTCCAAATTTCCTCTCTCCTGAACAGGAGTCAAAAAAGTAGTAGCAGAATGAACAAACAGATGCAGAAGAGAAGTCAAGAAAAGGAAGAACAGAGTTTTATTGTTATTGCTATTTTTCTAAACTTATAGGGGAAAGTACACAGAGTTTTCTCAGAAGAGGAAAGAAATTAAAAACCTAATCCAAATGATGCAAATATATTGCAATTGTAATACAGAAAGAGGAAAAAGGCATCCATTTGCAGAAAAAAAGGATAAAATTTTAGAAGAAAGACCATCCCCACAGTACTGCGTAGAAAATGACCTTCCTCACAATCATCCAATTTTAGGAACTGAGAAGGAACTCCAATTTTAGGACTGTGAGAAATCCTGCAGTAAAATCTCCAGAGAAATTGAATGTCAGCAGCCCTGCTCTGTAGCTGTTTTTGAAGATCTTGAGTGACAGGGCGAGCAGCCCTTTCTACCTCACAGCCTCTCTCCCGCTCCCTTCCTCTGTGCCCTCCACTCCTGCGATCTTGGGGGTCTCTTGGGAGTCAAAATGAACTTATTGCCATCACTGTTTTCAGACTCCACAAAATATTCTTAAAATTCAGGCAAGACCTGTCAACTTTATGAGGGGCGAGCATTCAACCTGCATTGAACTGAACAACACGGAACAACAAAAATCCTCCTCATGTGAAATTTCACAGCTGAACATTCACCAAATCGTCAGCATTGCTCATTAGCTACCAGATTCTTGCCACTCACTCCTACCACCCTACATTTCTGTCCTCCCTGCCAAAATAAATGGAGCCTAATTTAAGGTCACAGGAAAAGTGATCTTGCTGCCAATGCTGCCGAGGCCGGGGTTACACCTCCCATAGGAGAGGTCTGCATGGGAACACCCTTGCCATCAATCCCCTCAGTACAATCCAGACGCCCCAAACCCAAGGCCAAACCCCGTGACACACATGGCCACTCTAAGGGCATCAAACACTGCCTGAACACGGACTACTTTATGTACACACCTGTACATACTCTCTCTGCCCGTTTGCAAGCAGAATGCCAGTAAAGCCCAAGAATGTAAAACGCAACACAAGCTGCAAGTGCCAGGCACACTGTTGAGGGAGGTGTTAGTTGGAGGATTTCTCTTTCAAGGTGAAGATATATGATGAGGTATTTCTCCGTGCACAACATGCTTCCCGTTCTGCTCTGTGCCTCCCCACAGTGGCCACGTTTCACAGACTCCAGGTTGTCAGATTCCACTATTCATTTGGACAACAGCAAAGATTTTCACACGTAAAACAAAAGATCGAAGTTGGTTAGACTTATAAGATTCAAAATCGAGTAAGGCTTGTGCTCTTCCCTTAGGAATACAGCTACAAAGGTGA